GGATTACTTTTTTGGGGAAGTAATCAGTAATTAGTTACTGATTACTTTTTTCAAGTAACTTGACCAACACTGATAATGAGTGACAAAATTTCTTCATCTGTAGCACAAAACTGAAACATGTTACTGGCATAGTTTGGATACTATATTCATTTTCTGTAGTGTTGTCTTCAGGACTAAGAAATGCTGCTTTATATGCTATTATATTACATATTTAAAACACAACACAAAAGGGGCAAAAGCCTCTGTAACATCAGCTTTCAATACATTCAGACTTTCATTATATATAGTGTTTCACCCAGTACATTCAAGTTTCATTCAATGTATTCAGACTTTCATTTAATGTATTTGAATTTCACTGAATACACCCAGACTTTAATTTCATACTGTGTATTCAAGTTTCTTTCAGTATATTTAAGGTTCAATCAATCAACATATTCAGACATATATATATATATATATATATATATACATATATATATAAAATTGCTTCATAAAGGGTAGAGGGAAACACAGATAGATAATAATAATAATACTAGACTGCATTTATGTAGCGCTTTTCGAGACCCTCAAAGCGCTTATGTAGATCTCTACAATCTAAGACTTGATAAAAAGATAGAATACATACCTGATATTTACAATGTGAACTGTGCCATCATTAACATGATTTAATGTAGTAATCCATGTAACCTCTTCCTCTTCATTACAGCAAAAAGCATACTGAAACATTAATAGGGAGCTTCATGGGCTTTTTATTTCATTACAGAATATTTGTCTTTCGAGAGCAAAAATGACAAAATATACTCATTCAGACAATACACAACTTGAATATTGTCATACACAATAAATTTAACCTACCTGTAAGATTCCATCGAGGATGAAGAGTTTCATGAAAAAGAAATCACCGTTAACAGGTCCTTGGTCCACATATAGTATAGTTCCTTGGGCCACAGTGGTTTGAAATCTCACAGTTATGTTGTTGAGAGTGCTGAGGTCAATACCTGGAAACTCCAGGTATGAATTCCCAAAATAATGAAGGTAGCTTGAATCTAGGACATAAAAAAGAAAGACAGATCAATTGGGAGGAAAAGGTAAAGGACTGAAGTTTCCTGTAAATTCCACTGAGAATCTCGACTGATCCCTGAAAAGAGGATTTTCATTTGGTTCCTCTACAGGGAGGTTTAGTGCATGGAGTAGGATAAAGAAAAGGCCCTTAACAATTTTAAAGATTCAAGAATGTGACACCTGAGCAGGGCAAGTGGTTGCGCCACTTCTACTATGGACTTCCTGTTTTTTCTGCCTATGTTGCTTCACGAATGTAGATGCAATCTTTGCAAAGAGATGAGAGGACAGTCAAAAAAGATGCAAAAAGTGAATAATTACTATTTTGAAAGCAGATGAAAAGACTTTAAGGACTCTTCAAATATTTTCTCTTTCGCTCACTGTACACTCATACTATAAATAGTCTTATTTGCCAAAAAGCTGTGAAGCATGCAAATGGCACTAGATTAGGTGAAAAAGGAGTCTTGGCTGAAATGAACATATTCATACAAGTTTATTACATGCCTCATTTTATAGTGGAATAACTTGGCTTATATCATCCATGAGAATGGGCAATTATGGGGTATTTCAGTAAAAGTTCCACTGCCCGCAAGCTTATTGGGGGTAGTGACGCTGACAACTTTAAAAGACTGACTGAGACTGCAATTGGAGAAAAGCATTAGGGTGCTCATGCTCAATATATTTCTCATTTGAAGGAAATATTGGAATTTGTTGCAGAAAAGTCAAAGCCGAGAGCCTGTTAAAATGAAAGGCGTTACTGGATGCACCTGTCTCATACTCTATTGGCTCTCATCTTAGTTTAAGAAAAATATTATACATATAAAATTTTAAACCAGAGCAATCAGACACTCCTTTAAAGTTGTTGCAATGATTAATCGGGCAGTTGCAAGTGAGACCTTTATCAATATTTGTTAGACGTCAAGTCCTAATAGGCCAGACATCCTTTGATCTGACAGCTTGCCCCTTAGGACATTTGGCAAACAAGCTAACCTAAATACCTCCATTTTCTTTCAAGAGAAGTATGGCCAATACCCTGAGGAAAAACACACGATAACATAAAGTAGGAATTATAAGGAACAGACCTACTGCGGTGTGTGAATTAATGAGGATAAATGCATGCAGCAACAATGCGGTGCTGTCTACTGCTTCATTCCTGACAATAGGGTTTGCCAATGCTGATGATGGAAAATTACCCCTCAGAGACAAAGCTATTCATTAATTTTAAAGCCTTGTTTAGTCTGATGTAGTCTTTGATGCAGTCTGAGGCTGCTGCCAGGAGGCAGTATCACGCCTCATTAGCAGTTAGCTTCAGTCTTTTCCTTCAAAGGTCTCCTGTTTTTACCACTACCTTACACTCTCATACCAGATGTTTTTTGGGGTTTTTAATGCGAATGCCTCAAGTAACCAGTCATGCTAAATCTAAATAGTAAATGTACACAATGCAAACTATCTTATATTTTCTCACTTTCATATCCTGATAATGCACCACTAGGTTTCTCTTTTTAAAAAAAAAAAACAAACACAGTTAACATTACTGCTGACCAAGCAGTTTGCCACTTCTGGGAATATTGGTTGATACAAATCTCTGAGATCAGATTTAATTAGGGCCCGTCTTAATACATGACCATAAAGGAGGTTAGAAAATTGGTATGAGTCATATTTAATGTAACATAGAGTGGTGGAGCGCCATGTTGCAGCACAAAGTGTAGGTGGAAGCCAGACAGGTTAAAGCAGGAGATATTCAACCAGGAAAATATATTTGGAGTAAATGTGAACTTAAGATCACTTAATAGGAGGATAGACTCTGGGCGGTGAGAATTAATTGATATAGACTTAATGTCCCATTTATTTAAAAAAGGCAGGATATAAGTCCTGTTTGGTCCCTGATTTATTGGCTAAAGTAATAGACTGACTGATTGAACTTGTCACAGGACAGAGATATAATACTGCTGAGGATCATTCCAGGACCTCTGCAATTTCAGAGCCCTGAGGGAACAAAAAAGGTCATTGTGTACTTGGGAAAACTGGCTGAAAATATCTTATATTCAATATACCTAATACAAGAAGACTTAACTGAATATATTTACACTGTAGACAATAAATGAATCCTGTAGAGAATAATTCCTAAATATAATGCGTTTTTAAATGTAGTGTCTAATTATATCTGTGTTGTCTGGTTTTAAAAATAACAGATACAATTACACCAATGCACTGCACTGACAGTTACTGTACAGAAGCAGAGGCCATAAACTAGAGTTGAAATGATAAATTCAGACACTGCCTTTTTCATCTTACTGAGCCTTTCCTCCATGAATATTCATAACTCTGCATATCTTGTGAGTGTCAATATGACTCACTGGCAAAGCTGTGTCACTGAATATATCAGAATAGTTATAGGCGTACTTACCATGCACCGTCATCTAAATTACAAAGAAACTGAGAAAAAAGAAAAAACAACCCAAAAAACAAAACATAAACGCGTGGCACTGAGAACAAATGCATGTGCGTTAAAAGGAAGATTAACAAGGTGACTGCCTCGAGACAGGCACTGCATGTTTGAAGTGATTAACTTTTCACTCATCAAGTTGATTTTGAGGAACTTGAGTAATTTCAGTTTTGCTACATGTGGCAGGAAAAGATAACAGCCTCACCTGTGCTGTAGTGATCACTTCAAGGAAAGTCAACCAAATCGTGGCTTAGCGGCAGTAAGCCTCCCTCCACCAGCAGTGTCCTTTCTAGATTCTCATCAGTTCTCACACTGTAGAGAATAAATACTGTGGAGCTCATCATTGCACGTGGAGCGAGAGGGGGAAAACATATAAATAAATAAATAAAACCCTGAAGACAATCACCTCATTCTGGGAGGTTTACTCATTTTTTGTTGCTAGTACTGCTTTGAAACTGAACTAAATCAAAATAAAGATGAATATATTTATCTACTGGCAATATTAATAGGTTGTTTAATTTACCGGAAATTCACTATCCACTCTATATTTAAATTCCCATTGATTTCATATATTTGAGAGGTTTGGGGAGTAGCTTTAAGTTTAAAGGAGCACTGTCTGAGTCTATTTCAAGCATCACCAAGGGCACTGCATGTGTTTAGATGGTGACCTAGTTAGATAAACTCGTGAGTTTCTGGGTCCCCTTACTTTAAAACTTATTTACCTTCATTATGCACGTATCGCATGTAAAAGAGGTGGTCGGGTTGGTTTTTTCTCCACCGCTGATTGGTGTTTACATTTAACCCCTTCCAAACTAACGCACGGGACGAGGGCTGGATCAGGTGCGGCAGGGAGGACTCCATTATGTTTGGCCCACAGTGATTTTCAGAGTGCCGCACTGAATTGGTTCAAGCTTGTCTGTGTTCAATAGGTGTGTTTTACAGTTCTGTGAACAGTTTCAAAGGGAGACAGACCTCATCTGTCACAGAGTGACAATCTGCCCAGTGTTCCGAATTCCTCCCCTCACATAGATGACTGAATCCAATACCAACAATATATATCACATTGTGTTCTGTGTCGATCATTTGAGTGTTAAAGGATATAGCCCGAAATAATGATTGGACTTGTTACTCTTTGAAATGACTGTTCTCAAATAAAAATAGAAAGGGTACTTCAGTGGCAAATGCGGAACTAGATTTCAGCAGGATTTATTTTTCCACCACAGCTGCACAAAGTATAACAAGCTCTAAATCAAACCAAATATATCATCGCCTGCTATGTTCCAAAGACTCTAAAAATCACATTTGGAGTGCCAGCTTAGTGGGAGTCTCCCTGCATTGGAAACTGGCAAAGCTTGTGTTTGGTAGGAAGGACAAGGGAAGGATAGATTTGTAATTTGTCAGAAAACCAACCATCAGTACAAATTAATTGCTGTAATGGTTTATCATTTTAAATAATTTAATGTCACTTTTCAAAAGACATAACGTTAATGGAAGTAATAGCATAGTAATGGGAGCTATGACTCGATTGAGAAGTGCTAATTTAAGTTGATACACTGCCATATTTGAGTAGAACTGCCATTAAGATTCCATAGCGTAATATCTGAGTCTGTGCATTGAGCTCTAAATATAAAATAATACAATAAAACTCATGATCATATGGAGTTGAGGTTCTTTTTATGAAAAGAGCCACAAGAAAAGTACGTAGAACCATCCTAAAAATAAATAAATAAATAAAAATCCTACCATTAGGACCAAAAAGTCAGAAGATTAGAAACCAATTTGAACAGAAGCAATAAAGGAAACTAAATGTTTATAGCCTTTCACAAACAACTAAACTGCATTTGAAGATTATTAGGATACTGCAGCATCCATCTTCATCCATCAGAGCCCAGAGGAGTACTCAGATATTTTACTTTTATTTTAAAAAGCAATATGGCAGTGTCAAATTACTTCACTATAACTAAGGCCTGCAGATAAGATCACATGTAAAAATAAGAAATGATTTAAATGTTCAGCAGCTCCTTCCACTCTACTGAGATAATACGTTTCTACATTGAATCACTTTATTATATACTCACCGGTCACTTTCTTAGCTAGATCTGTTCAACTGCTTGTTAACACAAATAACTAACCAACCAACCATATGGCAGCGCTCAGTGCATTTAGGCATGTATATATGTATAGACGACCTGCTGACGACCCTATTCTGACTGAGCATCAGAATAGGGAAGAAAGGCAATTTTAGTTAAGTCAAATGTGACATGATTATTGATGCCAGATGGGCTGGTATAAGTCAGAGACTGCTGATCTACTGGGATGTTTCTGCCCAATCATCTCTAGGATTTACAGAAAATGGTCTGAAAAAGAAAACACATCCAGTGAGGAATAGTTCTGTATGTGAAAATGACTTGTTGATGCCAGAGGTCAAAGAAAAATGAATAGAAAGATTGCTTCAAGCTGATAGGAAGGTGACAGTAACTCAACCACGGTATGCAGAAAAACATCTCTGAATGCACCTCAACACCTCAAACCTTGAAACAGCAATAGACCACAATGGGTGCTACTCCTGACAGCAAAAAACAGGAAACTGAGGCTGTTATTCCCACTGGCATTGCCCATTTGGACAACAGAAGATTGCATGGTTTGATAAGTCTCGATTTGGGCTGTGACATTCGGATGGTAGAGTCAGAATTTGCTGTAAACAACATGAAAAAATGTATCCATCCGGTCCTCAACGGTTCAGGCTGGTAGTGTTGTAATGTAATTTTCACCCCCTTAATACCAACTGAACATTTTTTAAATGTCTCAGACTATCCGAGTATATTCCAAACCATGTCCATCCCTTTCCGATCATAAGTGTGCACATCTGGTATCTTGAAGATGATATTGAGTTCACTGTGCTCAAATGGCCTCGACAGTCACCAGATCTCAATCCAACAAAGCATCTTTGGGATGTGGTAGATTCACATCAAGGATGAGTAGTTGACAAATCTGCAGCAACTGTGTTATGCTATCGTGGGAATATGGAGCAAAATCTCTAAGGAAAGTTTCCAGCACTTTGTTGAAGCCGTGAAGAATGAAGGCAATTCTGAAGGCAGTACCTAATGAAGTGGCTGGTGAGTGTATATGTTAAGAGGTTAAGACTGTTCTGCAGTTTCCACTCACTCGAGTCAGGGTCACATGACAAATGAGAGGGGTTGCGATACAATTAATAGGACAGGAAAGAAGAAAATGCAGCTTTTTTTCCTTTTAAATGAATAACAGAATTATACATTTCAGTTTTTAGACTTTCATGTTGTATCCTTAAGGATGAATTTACATGCAGCTATGTGAGGGAAGTATCAACAACTCCTACTATCTAAAACGCATAAGAAACCACTGGCTTGCTCTTTCGCGATGCATTTTTCATAAACTTACTGTGTCTTATGTTTATGTAAAATCTTTATCTGAAAAGTAGCTTGTAATTAGAGCTGTCATATAAATGTAGCAGACTGGAAAATACACTTCTCTCTGACATGAGGAGGAGTATTATAAATTCTACATCTTCACTGACTCCCGCCGCCGCATGTCCTCACATGAATGCACAGAGCCGTCCATACCTGTGGACCCCTCAGCTGCTGGTGCCGGGAAGAGTGTCGGCATCGGCACTCTGGGTGTGGAGCCGCGAGTGATGTTCTCGACTGCAGTCGCCAAGGGAACAGGATCCATAACAGGAGGCAGGCAGCTGACCTTGTTGATGCCATCTACACAGGAAAATGCTTCTGGACACGGATTCAGCAGGCAATCATCATAGTTGTGCTCACAGTTACTCCCCTGTGTATGTGGAGATGTGGAGATACTAAGTGGAATGTAATGTTTACAGCTTAAATAATAAAAGACAGTGCTATTATGTAATAAAAACAAGACGGTTTAAACTAAAAACAAATGCTAGTAATAAACCAACAAAGTCAGGTTATTTTATAGGATTCAAGTTGCCCATACAGTGTAGCAGTTACAAAATACATAAAGTGGTGCATTTTAAAAAAGCATTTACTTTTCCTGCATTGAAAATGCAGAGAAAAATGATTAGAGCATAAACAATAAAGACATCTAAGTGGTAAAAGGATTCAAGAGCTGAAGGTGCAGGATGGTAGCTTTTTAATGGGGAAAAAAAAGAGAAACACCACAACGTATAGAAAGGATAAGGTGGAGAGCCTCACCACAAATCCAGGACGACAGAAACAGGTGTAGCCATAGCCTGGATCATTCTGAATGCATATCCCCTGGTTGCAGGGCTGTGGAAGGCACTCATTAATGTCATCCTCACAGTGAAGGCCTGTCCAACCTGCCAAGAACAAAAGCCCACAGAGTGCCGTGGTGAGCCCAGGCTCTCCCACTTCCACCCTCTGAAGTGAATATCAATCAGATTCTCTTACATTGATTTGCTTCTTTTTGGGTTCACACACATACATAGACAAGAAAAGGCTTTCACTAAAGAGTAAGATGCCACATACATTTTAATGAGCCAAGGCAGTATCGTCTTTTTATCACTGTCTTTTTCAGTACTGTATGACTACAAATTTCTCCCTGGAGAAAAAGGAGATGACTTTTGAATGGCTTTGAGGTACAGAAACTATGTAGGCAGTAGGGTAACCTTAAGTGGCAGTTTGTGCAGTCTCTTTTAATCAAATATGTGCATTTTAGAAGTATTAAGGTGGTTTTCATGTAGTAAACTGGACTCTAGCACCTATCAGAAAAAAAGGCTTTTAGCTTTTAGTTCACTTTAAAACATGACGTCTTATTTAAGGCCGTAGTTTAGTAATCTTGCTCATGAGCTACAAAGGTTGCCTGCAAAAGGTCTTACAAAAGGGAAAAAAAATGCTTTGGTTGCCTCATTTAAAAAAAAAAAGATTTGAGAAATTCACAGGATATCTGAGTGACTCACCTGGCCTGCAGTGGCAGATGTAGCTATTAATAAGATCTTGGCAAACTGCTCCGTTGTGGCAGGGAGCTGAGCAACATTCGTTAACATCCACTTCACAGAAATCCCCCGTGAAACCTGGTGGACAGCTAAGAAAACATCATACTTTAAAACCTGTGAGGCTGTCTCACAGTGCTGTCACTTCCTGCTTGTGGGTTTGACACGCTGTATCCTAGAACTGCTTTTGTTATTAGTTATCAAACTTTTTCAAAATTTTACAGTTTTGAACAGAAAAATACAACTTTGTGCATTTCAGTGAAACAGAAATAAACCAAACTACTATTGTACTCATCATAGTAATAACCAAAGCCCTATATAGAACGAATCACCCCATTTCCAGCATATTAGACGGCCCATTATGCTGGAAATGAGCATAATAGGGCTGCTTTAAGAAGCACACTCCTGACTGCCAAAGATGCTGTTTATAGTTAGATGAAATCAACCCGGACTTTCCACAAGTATTCATTAATTTCTTATATAAACCCAGAAGCTCACTGTGACAGAGGAGACCCTTTGCCAGCACCGAGATGTTGATTAATAACAATTTATTCCACAATAATAAAAGGGAAACAGTAAAAAAGAATGACAATATTTCGCACTAGAAGTCTGCAACACACTCACATCCTGATACAGCTGGTTTTGGCTAAGTGGGTCTGTTTAGGGAGTTTTAGCAAATCTAATGTTTGTCAGCATTTGGTGGCCCCCGAGCAGTCGGGGGGCCCAAAAACAGATGAGTGAGATTTCTGCTCACAAGCTGCTTATATAACAGAATTACAGGGGCAAAACAGGAGGAAAAAAGATTCACGATGTACCCCTTGATCGGGATCTCCACCAAAATGTAATAGGTTGTTCATTTGGTCCTCAAAATTGCTTCACTGCACAACTTCTAAAACTCCACCATAACCACTGTGTGTAATGGCTGCACATCATAGTATTTGTTTAGATTCATTGATCTGATATGTCAGTCTCTGGTGATAATAATAATAAAATAATCCCCTCTCCCATGGAAACAAGTTAGAGTGAATGTCAGTTGTGAGGAAGTGTAAGAAGTGGACAGGCTTGTATGATGTCAGGCAAGTAATCCCGCTACAAAAACATAACCTTGGTCGAGGTAAGCTTGGTTTCTAAAGAATTCCAAAACACTCGCTGCAGTGCATAACATCCACAGATACTCAAAGTGATAATACGAAGGTGTGGTAGTTGTTTGACTTGGCTAATTACACAGGATAAGCTACACCTCAAGCAAAGACGGGTAACATTCAATTCTGCGGCTGTCATCTCTACTTGCTTTAAGATTTGTACAAGAGCAGTCATTTTCCAGATGAACAATGAGCTAGATCGTGCATCAAAGCTACCCCGGGCCAAGGAAGCCCAAGGTCTGCTGACTCGCATGGATTCCCAATTCACAGTCGCCACACCTCAAACCCACTCAACATCTCTGGGAAAAAATTTGATAACAGAAAATGTTATGCATCCACTGAAAACTGTTTCAGTGGATGCTAACAAGTGTATGTTGCGTTTACGAGGCTCTTCTGTTACAAACTGCTGTCTATAAAGCCCAGTCCATGTAATCATGTAACAGTAGAAAATGGGCAAACGGTTTAATGCGTGACCTCTTGGATGACCATCATTACAGAGAGAATGGAGTGGTTTTGAAGCCCATTTCCTGAGCAGGTGAACAAGTGATGCTTACCACTTTGCACATAGCATGCAAATATAACAACCCTCTGTAATAGAGGTACTTTGGACAAAAAAATATTGCATGACTGATTTAATATTTAAGCCCATCATTCAGTGTATTAGCCTAATCAAGGCCTTTGTATTCAAGTGGAAACCCCCACCCCAACCCTAGATAAAAACAAAATACGCTTGGAAATGCACTAACAACTGTAGCAAATCCACATGCTAACTTTGGAAGTGACAATTATACAACTAAAAGTCGCAGATAGAGTTACTTTTGTGGCTGATTTTATTTAATATTTGCAGGGGTTTCCCTTTCAGACGAACACTTTTTGTTTCTAATACTTTTGTGATATAGTAAGTTTTAACTCATTTTAAATGCCGTGGGGAGGTGTTCTCAGAAATACACCTGTGGATGGCTTAAAGCTGTGAATGTGGTGGTAAAACATTGGAGCTTTAAGCTCTAAATCCTATGACTTTCCAAAACATTGACTGTGGAAGACTCAAATTAACTTGCTCAGGTGGGCAAATTAGCATTAGTACGCAACAGCAAAACTGCTTAGATTGGAGTGTAATGTTCTGCAGGTGAAATTAGCGGATCAAAAAAACCCGACCCAAGAAGTCATCTGCAAACCAAAATCTTACTATGTAGGCAAATTTTTCATGTTTCTCTTCTGAAGCAGTCTGGCAATTCAGATCAATGAGGGGCAGCCGCAATAGAATCATTCTATTTTTGATGTCCATCCCTGGCAATTATCCACTGCTTCTGACACCATTGCCTCTTGACACTCCAAAGAAATTTACACTCCTAATGACGAGCACCACAGTCAAATCAGACACAAAACAAGACACTCTTATTGCCGGCATTAAATTTAGTGCAATTTGCAGTAAACTGCATGCCATAAACTTTAATGAATCATGTTTGTGTGAGTCTTTTAAATACTTTCCTTCCAAATTGTTATGGAGCTCTTACAAATATTGTCACTGCATCTGTTTAGTAAATCCCGACACGAGCTTTTTAACACCAAAAGAAGGCCTTGGCTGGAACAGACAATTATTAAATCTGGTTCTTGAAATGTTTTTTTAAACAGACAGCTCTGACCTGCATAAGCCTACGGGTATTGAAATGCAAAATACTTTCATGTGGTAATTGTTTAAGGTGGTGAAATGCACAGGATAAGCTACACCTTGAGCAAAGAGAGGTACAGTCCTTTTCGCAGATGCCTTTCCTACCAGTTTAAGGTCAGATGGCGATGCATCAGAGTTTCTTATTTCTTTGACTTTAATATTTACCCGCAGCTTCGCACAACTTTCAGGAAAAAAGACAGAACGCTGCACACATTAACACATTTATGTCATTAACACATGGATTTGGCTAGGAATAATATTTCATGTTATTCTGCACACCCACAGGTCAGCTGTACAGTTCTATACAGCAGACGTGTTCGTAATAAAGCAGCCTGGCTCTGCATAAGTAGAAGTGGGTGTATAGACAAACTTTGCCCTTAGTGTGCACATTTATCTGTGAATGCACGATATGCATTGCCTCCTTGCAACATATATGCAAATAAACCTTAAATGAAGGGAGCGTCGTAAAAACTGCTGCAGCGAGGCATTTTGCAGTTCAGCACCTCAATATAACGCTCAGAAAGTGCGGCAACATATGTAGAGTTGTGGTTGTCATTGTCACATAAATCATGACAGCGAGCATATAGCAGCACATCAGCGAAAGGTTAGACAACGTAATTAACTGCGAGGCATTCAGGGAGCGGCTGTGTCAAATCGGCACACTCTTACTACATACACCTTGTATTCAGATACACTTCATCACTCCAGGGATGACATGCCTGCAATTAAAAAGTAATGATTCATTTTCTACCGCTGCACTGTGAGGCAGAACAGATGTAATGCAGCGCTATAATTCTGAGACAAGATACTTTTAATTTTTTTTTTTTTTCACAGATCAGCAAAATTGTGATGCTGATGTTTAGAGTCAGAAATGTAATTTAATATTTTGAGATATTTAACCTCTGTTGCTGAAGCTGCCCACTGTCCATGAGCGGTTCAATAAGCTCCATTCCCTTAAGCTTTCTGGCTTCGATGGTGCGCTAGTTAGCCAGAGACACTAATGATTGAAGGTAACATTAGAGTATGTAAACACACAGTCCAATACTCCTTTCAGTAGCGCCACACACAAATCATCAGAGAAATTCAAAGCTCGCCAGGGCTGTCACGCTTTGATATGGTTGTATAGCTATAATAAGGTCAAGTGCAATTCACTCGAGGGGGTTAGCAAATGGTCGATTACAATCTGGGTACGGTGGTTTTAGATGTCAGTTTAAAAGCAATGCATGTGAAACATTCAGTTGGGTAAAGCTGCTGCACATTCAACTTTCAATAACTCCATCCAAGGACGACCTTTCAACGTCATTTTATCAAACACTTCAAAATAAATAAATAAATAGTGACCAAGCTCACCTGCATGTAAAGTTTGATCCTTCACCATCACTGCAGGTGGCTCCGTTAAAACACAACGAGACATTAAAAGTAGCGCCTTCGCAAACATCTATATCCTCCTCGCAGGTTTTCCCCGTGTAGCCGACCTGACAGAAGCACGCATATTTATCGATGAGATCGACGCACGAGCCTCCATTCAGACAGGGACTGCTGGCACATTCCTGTCAATGAGAAAATACCAAAGATTCACATGAACGAGACACTGTGGCAGGAAGAGCTTTTTAAAAAGATGCAACCATAAAATACATGTTTGTCGATGTAAAGCTCATGAGGGGTGATTAAATAATGAAAAAAAAAAACCTTTTGATTAAGAATGAATTGTTAGTAGTTAAAATGCAGATGATCAGATTATTGATTCAGCAGAGACCTTGGTAGCAACTCAATGTTTTATCGCTACGGTCCAGCACAAAGCTGTGGTTTAGATCAATTAGGCATTAGACTAAGCAATTCCTTTTTATCGGGTATTTGCACAATGCTCACATGATCGCGGTAGTTCAATTCACTTATCTTGTAGGAATGTCAATAAAGTTAAAGATACCGAAGGCCACACCACCTCAGAGCTTACAATATTCTCCTGACGTGTCGCTACAACGCACAGCTGCTTTATTAATTACACTCAACTCACATCGACGTTCGTTTCACATCTGCTGCCGGTCCATCCAGATTCACAAAGACAGGTGTATGAATATATTCCATCGTCACAGCTGAGAGAGCCACAACAGACAGGGTCAGAATTGATTCATCAAAATTATACTAGCGTGCAAAGTGAACTAAAAAGCATTTATTTGTGGAAGTCTTTTGCAGTATAGTCCATACAGAACCCTTAGAGACGGATGTAATCTTTCTAATGAATTAGTAATTCACCTTCAAAAGAATTAATGACTATAATTTAGACACCACTGAGACAACCTGTAAGTGCATTACATTAGCTCTTTACAACATGCGACATATGTCTCCACTCACTGCGCTGGCAAGAGGCGTAATTATAAATGATTCCATGCTACTGCTGCACAATTTGCTGTGTTTCTGTTTTAAATGATGGAGAGAAAATATGTACCTTCCATGAAGGCAAGGCGTTGACATGCATTCATCAATGTTGGCCTCACAGCGGAGCCCTGTGAAGCCACCCGCACACAAGCAGTTGTATCGATTAGGCGCATCAATACATTTTCCACTATTCTGGCATGGGTTTGAAACACACTCATCAACGTCAACTTCACAACGTGGCCCTAAGAAATGAAATATATGTTAGTCAGAATTGTTTTATTAGAAAAACTTATTTTTTAGTTCTTCAGTACTCCAAAAGTTAGACACACACACACACACACACACACACACAGAAGCACAATATGCATCTTTTTTAAAATTGGAAAAGTAAGTTTGATTTTGTCAAGTACTCATGTAATATATCAAATCCTCTGCTGTTTGCCATGTGCTTCTATGGCAGAGAGAGAGTTTATCTACGATATATACAAAAACTTGTCAGGAACAGCTCACTGTTTGCCATTTCAAACTAAAAAACGCCATCTTTATACTTTAATGGCAACCGCTGCATTATATTGTCTTTTCAAGCTATGTATCCCTTACTGACTATGGTTACCACAACGGACGTATAATTTTAACCTGTCAATCTAAACCTGTTTTAAGTTATTTCCAGATACATCATATAGTATAGATGACATACATGCAAAAGCTCTCCTCACCTTTGATTTTTGATGAGCATTTACAAGAATAATGGCCGAACACTTCATGTCAAAGTATCAAATACTTGTGGTAATTATGATCTGTCAAGACATATTGCCTTAAGCATTAGTTGGCTGGTCAGAGAAAAAGCTTTAGAGAATAGCAGTGCTGTGAAAACGATTGTCTGAGTTGATGAGTAATTTCTTCTTTGACCAGTAATCATTTATTTTCAAATTTCTGCAAAATCTGTCAACAAACTTATGGAAAAGTTAAGTAGCATAAGGAAATTTGCAGTTAATGGACTAAAGCCTTGAAGATGCAAAAATTTCCTAGCAGTGTGATCTTACTGTCCAGATAAAGCTGCCTCACCAGCATGTTTTTGCTCTCTGATCTGTTTGGTAAACTTTGATGCACTGTGATCACAGGCTGGCAGGAATGGTAAACATGGGTGTGCTGTTTACATTGCATAAGGATTTCTGGTTTTTTTTTTTCCTTTTTAATGATGTTATGTCTTGCTTCCATATTATTCTTTAATATGCAACTTGAAAGTTGTAATGCTTGCTCTGAAACACTCAATTCAAAGTGGTTTTAACTTCTTCATGACCGTGCATTAATAGCACTGGCTCAAAGCACGGAGCAGAAATATGGCTATTTGCTGAAGTTGTTTAAGTTTTAAACCTCTACGTTCGATAAAATATCATTTGAACTCTGAGGGGATATTGGATTTTAGATGGGGACTAATAAAGGCTTATGGGACTAATAAAACTGTTTGCTATATGGAGTGTGTAAAAATGAAAAAAATATAACTTCAGATCTAAAACAAGAAGGAAAACAACACATAACTGACAATAAAGACACGGTCCGATTGTACTTTGTGAAAGTAAAGATTTAGGTATTCGATTGTTAAATAACTAAAGTTCAAAACAAGAGCTGAAACAACTACTTTATTATTCTTTTCCTGATACACAGATAAAGAATCTTCAGCATCGTTGTAAAAAAATGAAATTAAACAGTGTCTTTTAGTCTCTCGATCAGATTGAAGAAACAATCTCAAGTCATTAACCCGAGGTTGACACATAAACACAGCACATAAACAGAAAAGACCACTTTTCATAGTAACCTTAATCTCAACACTTATTTAAACTCACTGGCCACTTTATTAGGTACACAATGGTAGTAAAAGGTTGGGTCACTCTTTCTGTCTTCAAAACTGCCTTACGGAGATTCAACAAGGTGTTGGAAACTTTCGTCACAGATTTTGAGCCATATTGACACGATAGCATCACACGGTTGCATCATCATCATCATCATCATCTCAAGGCCATCCTGCGCTCAATTCTGACATCAAGATAACATTCTTCACTCATAACACTGAAACTCATGGGTTAGTTTCATATTTTTGGACTATTCTCTGTAAATCCTAAAAATAGTTCAGTGGGAAAATTCCAGTAGATCAGCACTTTATGAAATACTCAAACAAACCTGTCTGACACACATCAACAACCATACCACATTCAAAGTTAAACAAATTTTTCGCCATTGTGTTGCTTGCATTAAACTTCAGCAGGTCATTTTGACCTTTCCGCTTATCTGGAGGGAACATTGAGGTGTTTCTAGAAGAGCAAAGAGATATAATCTCTAAAGCTAGTCCTGGATCTGCCCTGGAGCCTCCTCCTGGTACGACATGCCCCAAACACCGAGATGGCGTCCCTGAGGTATCCTAGTCAGCTGCTTAAACCACTTCAACTGGTTTCTTTCAATGTGGAGGAGCAGTGGTTCTGCTCGGTCCCTCTCGAATGACCGAGCTCCTTATCCTATATCTAAGGGAAAGCCTAGCCACCCTTCGAAGGAAACTTATTTCCGCTGCTTGGATCTCTGACCTGTGTACTGACTGGTAAATCAATAGCTTCACTTTTAGCTCAGCTCTCTCTTCACCACAACAGATCAGTACAGCATCTGCATCACTGCAGATATTGTCTCAGTCCATCTGTCAATCTCATGCTCCACTCTCCCCTCAATCGTGAACAAGACCTCAACATACTGTACTTAAACTCCTCCACCTGGGATAGTACTGTAACGCCTACCAGACCCAGAATGGGTACTCCACCCTCTTCTGGCTGAGAACTACGGGCCAGACTTTCAGGTGCTGATTGTCACTCCAGACGCTTCACACTGTGAACTTATCCAATGCAAGCTGCAGGTCACTACCCGATGAAGCCAACAGAAACACATCATCTGCAAAAAGCATAGATGGGATCCTGAGCCCACCAAAGTGGAGACCCTTCACCATGTAGCTACACCTAGATATCAGTGACAGAATCCATAACAAAAGGTGTCCCTAGCATAGTCCAGCACCCACCAGAAACTAACCCAACTTATTATGAGCACCAAGCTCCCACTATGGTTATACAGGGACTGAATGGCTTGTACCAGGCCAGACACCTAATATTCCCCATACTTTCCATTTTCAGAAGACTCCATTAAAATATAAATATACAAGTTTTATTTCTGTAACAATAAGTATGGTGACTAAAATTTCAATAAACTAATAAAATAAAATCACTTATGAAGAAAGGGAACTTTAAAATACAAAAATAAAACAAATACAAACTGACAATTTAAAGATATGTAAAGTTCTCAAACAGCTGCTTCCATCTACACCAGACTTGAAGGCACATCGCTACCTGTTTTTAAACATGACTATAGTATTTCTTCATTAGACGGTAGCTGTAGTGAAAACTTTACAGTTTTTTCTTGGAGAAGCCACCAAGAAACCACAAAACTGTTATTTTTTAATGCATTTTCTTGTTTTTGTAACAGCCACAAAAAAATTCCAAATAAAATCAAAGGGTTTTGCCTGGCTACAGACTACTAAAGCCAAGTGCAATGTAATTTGGGTAGTGTGCCCCTGAGAGGGTTCACTGAACTAATGGAAAAGTGTGTCTTATACTTTAAACGCTGATCATGCTGAGACTGCAGTACCCAGTGTCTACAAGGGCAAAACCCCCACGCAAACTGTGCAATCAGACACATTTAAGATAAGGCTGAATATTCAGCTTTAGTGAGACTGTTGATAATATTCATTATTTATAAAAGGCAGCACAAAAATAGCATTCAGATCACAGAAGACGGGAAGAGGAGGAGAGAGAGTTCAAGCCGGGAAGGAAACACCAGATAACACAAACTGACAAAATTAGTCTCCCTCCTGCCAACAAATCAGAATGCAAGTTGGGAAGACACACCGATGATGTTCATAGGAGTCTAAATTACAGCAGGTACTGCTTTGCAGAGGTGCACGTAAGTGACTTTTTATGCAGAGGAATTAAAAATAAAGTAATGTGTTTGGTATAATTCTACAAGGAGGGATTTCGTGATGTTATTTTTTTTACTAAAGTGGTTGAAAAAGATTATTTAATAACCCTAAAATCTCTTCGGGACCTCCAGTAATCAAGAGATGAAAAATGACTACTGACCCATCATTAATCATTTGGTTGGCTTTTCATTTGCAAACCGAGCCAAAAGTAAACAAAGTGACAACAGGAGCAAGAAACTACTTTGCCTCCTGTGTTTATTCATGAAAGAGAATAAATAAACTGCCTTTTCTGTACACAAAATCTATCATTTTGTCTCGTCACTGAATGTAAAACGATTCATTTCTTGTGCCAAAGAGATGAGTTGTTTCTTTTAGCCAAAAGGAAAGCTATACAGCAGCAAGGAAATTCACAGTTTATGGCTCTGAAGATACAAAACAACATAAAATAAAAGATCAAAGCTGAAATTTAAGTTTCTGAAATACAAAAGTGTGAGTGTGAAAATGTGAAAAACATGAAAAATTCCACGTCCTAGACACCATCGTTTCATGCTATCATTAAAAGTGATGATCACACTAATGATTATTGCTAGATATACCATTTCAATAAAATGCAAGAATAAACTTTGTGTCACAAGTTATGTTCACAAATGTTTTTCAGAGACACAAACAGCTAATTTTAGATTCACCAATTAACTGAACACACACTCACAGGCACATACAGCACTTTATGCAGACATCAGCTATCAGCTGAGCGTCAGGTTCAAACTCAGAACCTTCTTGCTATGAGGTGGCAGTGCTAATTACTGCACTACTTTGCCACCCACAAACTAACAATACCTAACTTTAATGTTCAAATTATGTAAACATAAGGGCTAAACAAAAGGAATTATGCACAGGGACGCATTCCTTGCAGAACAGAGCAGGGTTTAAAAAATTGTTTATACTAAATAAAAATAAAGCTGAGAACCTTAATGGGGACTATAAAGCATTTACTGTTTGTTTGTGGCTGTTAGTTTGCACAGAAAAAAAAACCTGCTCACAATGTGATTATATATTACTATACATATGTTGTGCTAATATTGAGGGTTCATTAAAATCAATTTAAGGCATTAAATGTATTTGTTTTTTGTTTAATTATGAGAAATAAATAGAAAAACATACACTGATTGCTCACATGACAGTTTCTAGTATTTCTACATCTGAAGAATTCAGTTAGAGATAATTGGTTTATAACTGATACCCTTCCATTGATAAAGTCATTGGAAATATTTGCACAATACTGCATGCTGTGTCATTAATAAGTAAACACTACCAGCAGCAACAACAACATTTTGTGGAGCAAGTCCAGCCAGCAAGAGCTAGAATTTACTGAAGCCTTAACAGCAAACAACATCGCAAGGGTCAGAATATCATCATCTAGCAATGTGCTGACTGAGGAAAGTGTAATAAAGTGCTGATTGCACTGTACCATCACTCAAGGGAACATGCTCACTAATGATGGGTGAAGAAGAGAAAAGGGAAGGTGACAAAGAGCGTGGAGAAACTGTGATTTATATAAACAAGATTGCCAATTAATCATGTCACTGTAATGACCTTTGACCATAAAGAACACAGCACCTGTACACAGTTAAGTGATACATTACTGGGATTCAGAGACCTTTAAGCCAAATGCCCTAAATAATGATGTGACAGCAAAGATCCAGCCAGATGCCAAGACTGACTTACATTAAAGGACAGCATGTTTGCTAATACAATATATACAGAAAGAAAATAACACTGTATATACAAATTAAGCTTAATAGCAGGTCTTATCGATCCAGTGAAAGTTTAAATTATTAAGGCGTGAGGAATACGTTTACGTGAAGAAGCAAAGATTTGATCTCTGTGATCTTTACCGTGTGTTTTTATAAGAGCTGTAAAAAGGCTCACAAAACTATAGGAAGAACCCGTTCACTACAAAAGACATATGCACTGAAGAATATTCCACATAGGTACTGATTGAGGTGGGAATAAAGCGTCATTACAGCCTAATGACATCAACAAAAGTGACCTGATATAGCACCAGACTCATTTATTAGTGAGGGGCTTCAACTGTTACTATCAAAATGACTTTTGGCATTTGATATGCAAAAAATATCCCCTTTCTTCCCTGATGGCTAAAGCAAATAATATGTTAATACCATCAAATGACACAATGAATTACAGTGTTGCAGCGATGACACATCATGCCATCAAAGGAGAATAACATTTCAATTCATTCCAATCAGGCTGCAAAAACACCGCATGATGAATCACCCTCACACAGCAAACTTACTTTAAGGCGAGAACAAAAAGAACACACAGCACAACTACAGTAGCATCGTAGACCCATTTTTTTTCTTTTTTTTGTGCGTTTTGACAAAAGTTGCTTTGCTGTTACACATGTTACTAGAGCAAATATTTTGTATGAGTTCTAGTTGGTTTGAGCCAATCCACACTGTATCCTCTGGCCACTTGCTCTCTTGGGGGACCCTGTTTCCTCAGATGAGCTTAGAGCAACAGAAAAAGTAATGGCTTGTACTATGCTGTGCGTAGGTCTAATAATAAAAGCTGCTTCTGTGGGAATTGGGCCATGCGTGTCAGGTTCTGCTCTCCAGAGTAGCAATACCTCAGAGATTTTCCCCCCTCTCTCAACTGGGGAAGGATAAATTGATGATACAGTGTGGAAGACAAATGAAATTAATCTTCCCAGTATCTGACAGGAATCGGCTTTGGATAGCGCACACACAAGTGCACACAAGTGTGCACACGCGCGCGCGCTAAAATAGCTCGATATCCGTCTGGGTGGAAAATAAGACAAATGGATTGAAGTAAAACAACACTAGCGTTCTGAGACTGAAGAGGCTGATGAAATTAAATAAATGCAGCTAACAGACACTGAGACGTTTTTATCAGATAAAACAGGTGACATGAATTTATCTCTTGTTAGCTCTACTAAAAAGCAGGCACTGTATCTTGCACAGCGAGGCAGGCTAATTAAAAGCAAGCATTGTGAAGCATTTTTTACACTAAGCCAGCTCTGTGTCAGACTTGCTTCAATAGCGTGCAGCCACAAGCGGGCATGATAAGCTTTTTAAAGTCTTATATTGATCTTAATGTCGCCTTAGGGCGAAAGAGCTACCTGAGTATCCAGGGCGACAGACACACTTGAAACCCCCGGGCGTGTTGATACAGATGCCCTCATGTAGGCAAGGTGAAACTTCACACTCATTCACATCCAGGTCACACAGCGTTCCAAAATAACCAGGGGGACAGATGCAGTGGAACCTAAAGAAGAAATTAATAAGCAATGTGTCACACAATCATAGCCCACTTATGTTAATTTCTTATAACTTTAAAAATCATCCGAATTGTTTTTCCTCTGCCAAACATGCGCACACGCTCCCACAGCAGTTGCGTGCGTGTGTTCCAAACCCACTGAGATAAACTGCGCTGGAGTGATTCTCTCAACTGACCGGCAGCATTTTGCAGAACAATTAACAACTGGCAATTAAGTTTCCCAGTGTGCAACTTAATTTAAATTATGCTTCATGACTTGTTACTAAAGGGAAGGCTTAATCTGTCCGATGATGTGGTTTACTCAATTGAAATCCCTCTCTGAAGCTGTCGCTGGGCCTAACCATAGATCTCGCAGGAGACGAGGTAAAGAGGCAACGTACAATTATTCACCTAAGTGCTGCTGTAAACATCATTCATCTGTAAACAAGTTACATCACATCAAATTTATGAAATATGCTAATTGGTAGTTATTGTCACGTGGCACATTTGTTTGAAAGCCTCTTCTGCTCTTGGACTGATTTATTAGAACAATTAACCCTTTCCTCGTTGCAGTCTCGCAGCTCTGCATAGTCTGATTCTTCATCGCAGTATAGATGAACTTGCATGGCTTGCTGGGTCAGGGAGATGGATTCAGAGGTGTGTGGCGGGCAGTGAGGTTAAAAAACACCTGATGTGAACTCCCAGGACTATGCAATCAGAAGAGTGCTCTGAGCAGGGCCAGGTCACATGGGAATGAAATCATGACGGAAGACAAACTGGAGACAAACCATTTAGGACTCAAATTGGCCCTGGGACTTCTCAACCCATCTGTCCGACTAAGCCTGGAAGCCCCGGGGCTCCCATTAAGCACAGCAGAGAAAAGCACCGGTGGAGTAAAGCCCAATCTAGATACATGATGTGGTCCTGCTGAGTTTGCTCTTCGTCTTTAGAATAGCAGCTTATGTGTGTCAAGGATGACAAGCTCGTTGTATAAACTGCAATACTCTAAGGAGGACTGCCAAAACCTTATAGTACTACTTTTTTTTCTTTGGAGAATGGTTATTGATCATTCAACTTTCAAAACAAAATCAAGCAATTAATTCTGCCTGGCCTTCATACGCAAGAAATTTAAACACGCTATGAAAAAAGGTTATGATGCAAGTAAAAGGGGGGAAAAATTGCATATATGCTTACTTGTTCACAAGATCTTGACATGTGCCAGCATTCTTGCAAGGGCTAGAGGCACACTCATTGATATCTTCCTCACAGAGAAGGCCAGAAAATCCCACCTTACAAACACAGCTGGAAAAGAAAAATCATTACTATTGATATTTTGTCTCTGATGGAAAATAGAAGATGTTTCTTACAAGCACGTGCACAGAGTGAGAAAATCTATAGGAATTTATTGATATTGATCACATTTAGTTTGATTGCTCACACTCTACAGCGACAAAGACTGGTTTAACTACATTAAAGAACATGCACAGTAGCATATGATAAAAACAGTTACGACAAACATGTTTTGTTTCATCTAACTACAACCATAATAATATTATCTGTTAAATAAATTTCAAGCTAAGAAGAAGCATATTGGTCTGAAACCCATACAAAAAAAAAGATTTCATCACTAAAACTCCTGACATTTTCTCACCCACTAAGAAATGAAAAGCTGGTTTGCGGATAACACTTTTTACCTGTAACTGTTGACCCGGTCCACACAGTCACCCTGGTTTTGGCATGGGTTTGAACTGCACTCATTGGTGTCAATTTCACACCAACTTCCTTCAAATCCTGAAAGATAGATGAGATGGTCATGGATCAGCAGACCCCACTACATCCTGAAAACGTCAGGACCGATGATAACAAAGGCCCCAGTGAATGCCATTTTAATGGAACTAGTAAGCCCTGTAGCATATCTCATCTTCCAGCTCTCAGCACTCACTGTTTCCCCTTTGAGAGTGTGTAAGTCTAATAATACTTTAGTGCCACAGACAGATTGGTCTGAGGGTTAGTGGTTTGGGGTTTGGGAGGTGTGTGCCTGTGTGTGCCACCGTGCATATGTCTCTGTGTCTGTCTGTGTGGGAGAAAGCGAGCGAGTGGGGGGACATCTTGTTAAGTTAGGGTAAGAGGGAGAGGCTAAGCCCAAGAGCTCTTTTGCCCTTGTTCATTAGGGGGTTGAGGGCCAGCATGGCTAAGCAGATCAGCATGGATGTTTTGTTGTACATTTGAAGGCAGCCTAGGAGCCTGTAGTGTTCTGCCTGCCAGAGGTATTCCTCTAGTGCTTGGCCTGGGTCTGGTCCATTGGATTGTTTTCTGCTGAACGAATTAACATTCGCTCCATGCATGAATGGGTTTCATTAAGTAAAAAAATTGACAAATTAAAAAAGATCACAAATTAACCAAATGCTCAAAAGTATGGAACCAATTAATGGACATGATCTGACTTTCATTAGCAGTGAAATTTAATCACCTATAAACATCAGAAGTACATCTAATGCTTAGACGTACAGTATAAGCATTCATCCATCCATCCATGGCTTATCTGAGTCAAGCCTGTGGAAGCAGTAGAGCTACCCAAGCCCCCATATCCCCTGCCAACACTTCCAGCTGTTCAGGAGGAATACCAAGCCACTCTCTACAGTGTATCCGGGGACTGCATGGGAATCTTCCCAGTTGGGCATCCTTGAAAGAGCTCCTCATCATATCTCTAATACTAAACTCAGACACCCTTCATAGGAAGCCTAGTTTTATACTTTTGGCCATTATTTCAACTTAGTTTTCCTTTCACCATAACAGACCAGTGCATCATCCAAATTACTACAGATGCTGCACAAATATGCCATTGTAGCTGCACAGAGTAATTATACAATTTCCTGTGCAATGCTGCTATCAAGCTACTTTAAAATTCTGGGCTCAGACTCCCAACAACGACTACTGTGTTTCCCCTGCAGAGCACCATCTGCCGAGCATAATTAAATGTAATGCAAGCATAGCAAAGGGTTAATATAACTAACCCATAATGAGTGTGTGAGTGCCCTTATTGTTTTCTTGTCTCATTATGTTACTCCCACTGCTTCAAGATAGAATTACATATTTTTGAACTGTAATGGGTTTTGCACATAGTAAATTTTATGCCCAGAGAAGTACATCTGTTCACAACGATGAGGTTCCTGAGAATTGTTTAAGACAGGAGCGCATGTGTTTTAATCTGGCATGTTTAAAAAATGTGAAACTCGAGCCATACAGGAAGAAATCTTTCAAAGTATTGAATATGACATTTTGGCTATTTTTGGAATTCACGGAAACAGTCTAGCAGGGTCATACAGGGTCTTCAGTCCTCTGTGTAATATCAGGAGGTAACTGTATACTGCCTTTTTCTCTTTCGTCTTCACTTCAAGATATACAGATGCAGGAGTTGTGATTATTTGTAGTCTCCAATGTGTTTAAAATTAGAAAAAAAAATACACTATGAATAATGAATTTCCTAAAGAAAAACGGAATGCAGGGTAAGTGACACAACTCTGTGCATCTTGGGATGTATGAATGAAGAGGAATCCATGAAGAGGAAACCAGAGACAGCACAGAGCATCTGGTGAATTATGGGACAGCACAAGTTTCCCATGCTGGTCTGTCAGTCAAAGCGATGGTGAAGCACCTTGGGGACTATTTCGAATGTCACTGCAATGTAATGCATCTTCTGCTACTAAGCAGTGACTTGAGGCTTCTCTTTGACAGAGTACAGAGCGGGATACCCAAGGCGCGTGGCTCACGTAGTCATTCCATCATCTGGCAAGAGCTACAGTATGTGATCACGGCTGCTGCCAGTAAATGTCTCGGAGGAGAAGAAATTGCGGGTGATCCCGAGTGGATAGCCAACTAACTTTGATTGACATTTCAATTGAAATATGAGGAATGTCTCCATTTTGAGAGAGCGAGCTTAGTTTGGACTGCTACATTGGTGACTGTTGTCTTCTGTCAGTCTGATGTAACGTTTCTTAGAAGGGGCTCATTTAAAAATTTTATAACCCAGCGTTTCTGCAGTACAGATTACGATCTCTGTCTGCAGCGGCGTCTGTGTGCCGTCATGCATCAAAATGTTAGATGTCACTGGTGGCTTAATCCAGGAGCAGGATTGTCATGTTGAAACTAGGACTGCGAGTTTTGTGCCTGGCCTCACGAGTTTTAGTTAACCTACTGCACTTTTTAATTTGCCAGTCAGTGGCTGGATTTTAGATTTATGACACAAGATCAGAGCGAGATTTACAGTATCCAAACTCATAAAGGCCCTAAAAATGCAATGTGCTAGAGCTTAACCAAAATTGTGAAAATAAGTGTGAAATAATCGCAACTATAGAGAACATTACAAAAAACAGACTAACTAACTAAGACAAACTAAGCTATTTTCAGCTGTCATTAAAATAAATAATTAAAAGATTATATATAAAATATCGCTTTACTGTGTTTTATGATCAATATCACAATTCTTGCTTTTTGCTTCTCAGCAGGAAGTGAGAAACATTTTGCATTGTGTTGTACTACAGAATGGCTGTATCATGATAATACAATGGGTGATAAATTGCACTACTCTTGTATTGTAAAGCAATTGTATTGTAAACCAAACCATCCCCGCACCACTGATGGAACACTGTTGGACATCTTGGATTCTTTTCAAGTCTCTGTCACATTATTTTAGTTATATTTATTTAAAATGCAGCAACACGAATAGAAATAAAAACAGAAAAGAGTACGCTTGAAGGTCCTTTACATGCAAGGACCAAAAACTGGGTTACTTGAAGAAGTGGGTTAAGAATAGAAATCCTTTGCATGTAAATACCAGCTACTGCAGCCAATTTACCCCACTGCTACACACCTGGACCACCTCTTCGACACAGCTAATGCAGGAACAAAATGATTAAACACTGAGTTTATTTAAAATTTGTTTACTGTACAGCTGCTGCAGACCTGCTGCTATTTCATACTTTTAGTATAAATGAAACTACTTCTTCACAACTGATGTCTGGCCCTGTGTACACTCTTGATGTTATGGTTTGTTTGTTTCTCTAGCTTTAGTCATATTATTTATTTTAATGACTAATCTACAAATTAAAGCTGTTAACTTTGGTTTATATGTTTATATGTAGTAAGTTTTGGCTGTCATAAAACGACAAACTGCTTGTTTTATGGTCTGTCAAAGATTTGGCCCTCTCCAACTCTGACCATTGCCCCCTGTCCATTTGGAAAATCCTTCATGCTGTGAAACCAAATGTTACAGAATGAAGAAGTTTACAAAAAGACGGAAAAAAAACAGCCTAAGTGCAGGTATTTCCTCTCTGAGGTCTGCACCAAATACAGGCACTTTAAATGGTCTGAAATAATGGGGAAATATGAGATTTTGGAATTTTATTATATCATGCACACTCTCCATAACCATGACACCGTACCTCTTGAATTACAAATAAAAGAACAATCAGGTTATGCTTTGAACTTTAAAGCTTTGTTAGGCAATTTTGCTTAGAAAAATTCATTAAATCAAATGGCACTCTGTGGTGTGAGAGGGCTGAAAGCACTACAAATGCCACTGAGAATCAACACTCTTCACCATGATGACTACAGCTTTCTGCTTGGCATTTATGTTTGCTGATTCATATGTTTGGGCCTGAAGCCTATCACCTTGTCTTTCATACAACACAGAAGGTTTAAGATGCAAAATGTGAGCAAACACCATGCTTGCCTACAAATCAGACAGTTGTGTTTTGCATTTGATTTTTGACTTAATCCTTAGTTTTAAATCTTTAAATCTGGACAGTTTATTAGTTATATTTGCTTATACCGGTCTGGACCCCCTTTTGCCTTCAGAGCAGCCTTAATTATTTTTTGGAATAGACTGAACCCAGGTACTGAGATGTGAAGACAATGGAGGTGAACTTGCGGTCATGTTGAAGAAAACAGTTTGAGATGATTTTAGCTTTGTGACACATTTTCCTGTTAAAGGAAGCCGCAATGTTGATGGTGAACAGATCAAAACACTGACAGAATCCATGGATGGCAGGCTTTTGAGTGTCCTTGCAAAGACAGGTGGCTATATTGGTCGCTGATTTGTTTTTGAATGTCAGAAATGTATATTTGTGAATGTGGAGATGTTATATTGGTGTCACTGGTAAAAATAAATAATTGAAATGGGTATATATTTGTTTTTTGTTAAGTTGCCTAATAATTATGCACAGTAATAGTCACCTGCACACACAGATATCCCCCTAAAATAGCTAAAACTAAAAACAAACTAAAAACTACTTCCAAAAACATTCAGCTTTGATATTAATGTGTTTTTTGGGTTCATTGAGAACATGGTTGTTGTTCAATAATAAAATTATTCCTCAAAAATACAACTTGCCTAATAATTCTGCACTCCCTGTACATTAGTAAACATCATTGTTGCAGATGAGCAATTCTGTTACCTCCCACTCTCTTTTTAATGATAACTATGTAAATAGCCACAAAGCTAAATAGCATAATAAATAGCTAGCTGCATTTATAGCTAGCTTGCACGATATAGTGCTAGCTAGTTAGATATCTGTCTGCCCAAGTTCTACGGGTAATTCATCTTTTTTGTTTGCTTGTTTAGTTTTTTTAAGGTGGAAATGTTGGGTATTAGCTTAGTCCTTAAGCTTAAAAATTGTATTTCCACACATATTATCAATCAAAAGTTACAGTTATTGATTATGCCTAAACATGCTGTATAATTTTCACAGAGAAATGAGGATTGCATGCCAATATAAAACAATTCTGACTAT